ACGAAAGGTTGGGACTGGGAGTGAGGGTAAAATGTGGACACAGAGTGGAAGAAGACGGGGAGACAGGGAGAGAGACTCACAGAGAAGGGAAGACAGAGAGAGATGAGGGAGAGAGAGAAGCAGGTGTCGTAGGTGGAACTGTGTTCCCCCCAAAGATACGCCCAAGCCCTAACCCCTCCCACCCCCTCACCCCCGTGTTCATGCATGTGACCTTTTTGGAAATAAGGGTCTTTGCAGATGTAATTACGTTAAGGTCACATGAGAGCATTCTGGGTGTAGGCTGGGCCCTCCATTCAAAGGCTGGTGTTCTTATGAGAGAGAGAGAAAGGAAAACACACATGCACACTCCCCACCTGGAATGTGCCTGCAACCAAGGTACATGCCCTTGGCCGGAATCGACCTGGGAGCCTTGAGTCCGCAGGCTGACGCTCTATCCACTGAGCCAAACCGGTTAGGGCCATGTGACTTTTTTGGAAATAAGGGTCTTTGCAGATGTAATTACGTTAAGGTCACATGAGAGCATTCTGGGTGTAGGCTGGGCCCTCCATTCAAAGGCTGGTGTTCTTATGAGAGAGAGAGAAAGGAAAACACACAAACAACACAACACAACAACAACAAGGAGATCTGAGACCCAGGCAGAGGGAACAGCCAAGTGAAGGCCGAGGCAGAGATGGGAGGAAAGCCAAGAGCCAAGATGCCAGCAGCCACCAAAGGTAGGAGGCAGGGGGGACCTCCACAAGGGATCCCCCCCACCTGCCAACCCCTTGATTGGGGCCTTCTGACCCGGAGTTCTAAGAGAATACCTTTGTTGCCTTAAGCCACCCAGGATGTGGTCATTAGTTATAGCAGCGACAGGAAACGAATACACAAGGAGACAGTGGGGAGAGAGCCGGGGAGAGACTGAGAGGGAGACGAAGCTGGGCAGGAGGCTGAGGGAGACAGAAACGGAACTCAAGACAGAGATGGGAGAGGGAAGACGAGTTGAAGACCAGTGAAGACAGGGAGAGGGGTTCACAGCTGGGGGGATGGGGAGGAGCTAGGTGAAGGGCTGTAGAAAAGGAGGGAAGATGGGAGAGGAAAGGAGGCAGCAGCAGAGAGAGAGATTTGAAGCAGCAGAGCGGGGCCGGCAGACCCGGAGGGATCTACGGGCCACGCGGGGCGGGAGTCGGAAACCCAGACCCGGAGCCAGGAGAGACCTGCAGAGACGGGCAGAGAGGAACAGAGGCACAGATTCAATCTGGGGCCGGGGGGGGCAGGCCTGGGCCTGGGACAGAGGCGGGGCGGAGAAAGCCCAGGGGAAGAGGCAGAGACAGAGAGAGTCTCACAGAGGGAGAGAGAGAAGGGGGACACACCAGAGCTCACTCGCATTACAGCGGGCATTCATGTGCTCAGTGCCGATTCAACACTCACCCCCACTCCCCAGAGGGAGGCACTGGGAGTGTCTAAAATTGAGCATGGCCCTGCCTAGCCGGTTTGGCTCAGTAGATAGAGCGTCGGCCTGTGGACTGAAGGGTCCCAGGTTCGATTCTGGACAAGGGCACATGTCCGGGTTGTGGGCTCAATCCCCAGTAGGGGGCGTGCAGGAGGCAGCCGATCCATGATTCTCTCTCATCATTGATGTTTCTATCTCTCCCTCTCCCTTCCTCTCAGAAATCAATAAAAATACATTTTAAAAAGTAAATAAAATAAAATCAAGCATGAAGAAACAGAGGTGTCTGAGAAAGGAGGGTGAGGAACAGCGAGAGATTGGAGAGGGGACGGAACGGGGGCCAAGCAGACGGGCAGGGAGAAACGCTCAGAGGTGGAGGGATGGCAAGGGCAGCGTCTCCCCTTGGCACTTGTGGGGCCCGTGCTTGGGGCCAGGGAAATGTTTTCATTTTAAAAGACTTTTAAAAGCAGAAGAAAATAATGTGACAGTAAATAATAACAATAATAATTTAAAAATCCAGCTTGGAATATACCTGTCTTCAAATCAGCACATTCACAAAATACAATTTTTGTTTTGTCTTTGGAGGAAGAGACCCACAAAAGCAAAAGTGCTGAGGACCCAGGGAAAACATACTGTAGTCCAGTGATGGGGGGGGAGGGGGAGAGAGAGAGAGAAGAAGGAGGAGGAGGAGGAAGAGGAAGAAGGAGAAGAAGAAGGAGAAAGAAGGAGGAGAAGGAGGAGGAGGAGAAGAAGAAGAACAAGAAGAAGGAGAAGAAGGAGGAGGAGGAGGAAGAGGAGGAGGAGGGAGAGAGGGAAGAATGAGAGAGGAAAAAAGAGGGAGCGAGAGAAAGAGACAGAGGGAAACAAATAGACAGAGAGAGAAAGTGACCGGGGAGATTCCCAAAGGACACCGTGACCCACGAGGGCGTTGCCACTTTGAGGGGCTCAGTGGGGCCTTTGGGGGCTTCGGGTGCGGGCAGGGATGACTCACGAAGCCACGATGACCCCAAAGACAAAGACGGCCAGACACACGGAAACGATGATGCCGAGCCGGGCCTGTGTCCGCGGGTGTCCACTCGCTCTGTCGTACCGCAGGGCCGTGCGGGGCTGCCTGTCGACTGACAGCCCGAACTTCCGTTGCCACCCTGCCTTGACCTTGATCGCACCCACTGCTCACTCAGCAACCTGGGCCTCCTTCCCACCTCCTGGCCCTCGGCCTCTCCCGGGGTCTCACCCTCCATTCATCCATTCCTCGAACTGTGTCCCAGGCACCTTCCAAGGTGCTCGGGATCCCAGTGTGAACTCACCCCTGCCCCTTCCTGCCTCCTTCCCACCCCCTCGCTCCTGGAAGAGCCAGCGAAGACCCCAGTGCTAAATGCATCTCATTGGATGAGGGCCAGGGTGGGAGGGGGATTTGGGTTGCTCCTTTGCCAAGAACATGACAGGGGAATGCAAAATGCTGACAATCCCCTGAGAAGAAGGAAGCCTGCATCTTAGCGGGCGGCTCTGAGGGTGGCCTTGGGAGTGCCATTCTGCACCTCCCACTCGCACCCTCTCGTTCTGTCAGCAAAGACTCTTGGCTCGACCGTCAAAGTGTATCCAGTATCTGAACCTCCTCCTGGGCTCCGGACCTGGTCTAGCCGCACCCTCCCCATCCCAGGATCCTGGCTTCTCCTCCCTGCAGTTCCCCGCGTGGCCGCCAGGGGCGCCGTTAACCCCCAAGTCCACTCACGTCCCTCTTCTGCTCAGAGCCCTCCCATGGCTCATCTCTCATTCGGAATAAAAGCCCAGACCTAAGCGGGTTTGGCTCAGTGGATAGAGCGTCCGCCTGCGGACTGAAGGGTCCCACGTTCAATTCCTGGTCAGGGCACATGCCTGGGTTGCGGGCTTGATCCCCACTGGGGGGCTTGCGGGAGGCAGCCCATCAATGATTCTCTCTCA